GTGTCGCTTTTGGTAACTTGCCCTCTGTTCAAGTTGTTGCATCTTTGCCTCATGTTCACCTAGTTGTTGTAAATTTCCCAGTCTTTATCCTTTGGCCAGTGATCTCAGGAACCATATCTGAATTTTGTCATTATGTTTGTCATTGGGGAGTTTTTCCTTTTTCGGCGTTTTATTGTTTTTGCATGACTCTTTCCTGAGTTTCCGGTTCAAGCTCTTCAACAGAGTTGTCCATATGGATAAGCTCGTTTCCAAATATATGTTTTTGTAGCCATTCTGGTTTTCTTTCCATGTTACCAATATATCTTTGTGAATGGGAAAGCTTTTACCCATGTTTTCAGTCTTGCAGTCATTTATTCTGTAGTTGGTTTTATTTTGTCAAGGAACATTTTTTTCAATACTAACATTTCATTTTGGTACTGTCCATTTGAGTTTTCTTAAATATTCATCCCTTCTCAGTTCATTTATGTTTGTCTCTCTTCGGTATGTGGAATTTGTCTTGGATTGAACTTAGAAATATCTAATGTCATGAAATATGAGAACAAGTGGTTGTAAAAGTCAGATGTCAAAGTTTCTGCTAAGTCGTCAAAATATTCTGTATCTTGCATATGAGAATCTGACGTTCTGACAACTACATATCTTCTGTCAGAACTTTCTAACTTCATCGGAACAGCATTGTTTGAAACCATAATGAAGTTTGCAACATTTTCACAAACTCTTTGGTCTTTATACTTTCTTTCAACAACTCCAACTTTGTCTGTTATAAGACTCTTCAAAGCATCTGAGTTCAAAACTTTTGTTGTATCTATACTTTGAAGTTCATTGCAAACTATAAGTTTCATATTCTCTATTGAGGAGTTAAATTGCCACAGATGTTTTCTAAGTTTGTCATATTCGGGTTCGAATAACCTTCTAACAGTTTGCACAAAATATCTGTAAAGAAAGTGTTCTTACCTGTTCCTTGTTTTCCAATTATAATGAGAGCAGTTTCATTTTTAGCACTTGGATGTTGTAAGATGTTTGCAAACCAACATAAGATATACTCATAAACCTTTTCGTTTCCATTGCATATAATTTCTTTGACATGGTCTAACCAAGCTTCTATAATATTTTCTTTCCATTCTACTTGTTCATATTTATATCCAGTGAAGATAGAATAGAAGTTTGGAGAAGGTGTATAGAACTTTATACCTCGAACTGAAAAATCTTCTAACTTTGACAATAAGATATCCCAAGCATCTAACATCTTCATGCCAACTTGTACGACTTTTATTTTCTTAAGTTTCTGTCTACATTCTTGTTCTGAACTATTGTTGCTTGGTTTGTTAAAGACAACATCCCATTCTTTCATAACATAACATTCTGGGGCAGAGTCGACATAAATGACTAAACGTTTCAAATTCTCGACTGCTTTGTTATAGTCTCGAAATGGACACATATTTCTGAATGCTTGGAAGTCATAAAAATCTGAAACATCTATTCTGTACATTTTTATAAAAATAAAAAAAATATTTTTTTTTATTCTTGACTTTGTTGTTCCATTTGTTGCATTTGTTGCATTTGTTGTTCTTGAGCTATTTGTTGTTGAAGTTGTTCTTGTAATACAATACTTTCACCAGTTGCATCTTCCAATTCGAAACTTTCTGCCGTCATTGACAAATACATAGGACATAAAAGTTTTACAGGAACAAAGTTTGCGTCAACTAATGTCAACGTTATACTTGCCAAAGTGTTTGAGTTCACTAAGGTTGAAAATTCTGCATTCGAATGAACAATAGGCAAACCAGCAGAGAAAGTATTGTTTATACGCATAAGTATCTTTTGGTCATAATAGTTTCTGTCGACATTCGAATAACACTTTGAACCTAAGTTTGAAACAATATATAAGATTGGTGTGCTTAATGTCAATGGAATAGACATTCCTTGTATGACACCTTTTCCTGTTATAGGAAACTGTTGGTAGTAAAAACCAGAAATAAGTTTTGTATTATAGCTCATATCGTTTATAGTAAACTCAGTCGGACATCCAAACATAATGAAACCTGCTCTAGTTGCAGCACATGTTACACCCGTACTTAAAGTATTAAATAAGTCAACAAAACCTGTTGGTGGTATATCTGAGTAAGTATCTTCAAAGGAGTATTTTTTACCATTCACAACAATAAAGTCTTCTGGTGTCAAAAGAGCAAAACAGGCTTTAGTCGTCATTGTGTTTAAGGTTAGTTTACAATATCGTCCTTGAGGACTTTGTAAGTTTGTTGTTATAGAATTATATGACTCAGGGTTTTTAGTCGTAATAGTATAAACCATTATGTCTTCTGCCATTTACTTAGCAAATAAATTTTAATGAAATGTTGTGGTCGTCAAATATTTTATAACGTCTGGGAAACTATATTTTAAGTTCAACGTTTCACCTCCTTTCATAACGTATATCTTGTCAATGACATTATATGAAACACCACAGCAACTAATGTCGGGTTCTATTTCTTTGATGTTTATATCGTCTGCCTCTGTCAAAAGTTTCAATAGTTCTTTCAAAACTTCATGAGGTGCAATGACATATGAGTTCACTTTTACAGGGTTGTGTTCGACCAAGTTTAACATTATACTTAAAGCTTGACAAATCTTCTCCTGAGTTTGAAGTTTGTCTTTCAGTTGTTGGTAGTCGTTTCGAATATCTGCAACAGAACTTAAGTCTCTGCTAACTTCAGGATATGTTGTTGTTCTTTTACAGGAACAATTGTTATACCATCTTCGTCTTCGTATGGTTTCCCCACTTCAACATCTCTGTCTTTGACATTGACAATAACACTTTGACTGTTTGTTTGAGTTGGTGAATTTAACTTCACATCTGCCACCGCCATTAAACCTTTTGAAACACTTACGCTTCTATTTTTCGGAAATGACATTTTACTTAGAATAAAAAGATGGACGTATTCGGATATCTCTTGAATTGAAGCAGAACAAAGTTTATACTCACAAACAATACAAATACATTGACAGAATAGTTCTTTACACAAACAATGGAAAATGTTATAGAATAGCAGTCTTTGCTGAACCAAAATATTTTCATAAAGCAAAGAAAGTTGGTATAACTGAAATGGTGAAAGTTCTTGAAGCAGACAAAAATATAACTTCAAAACTTACAGATATTTCTAAAGGTAAGTTTATAATACAATATTATGTCAAAACTGGCGTACTGTCAATATTTGACGGAGAGAAGTCAGTTCAAGAACAACTTACTGACCTGCTGCCAAAATCTGCTCGATGGAAGCTGTCGTTATGCCAATCTGAGGAGCCCCAGCAGGTTTCATCGAACGAATCTTCAAAAGAGCATCTTCCGTGAAAAGTGCTATTGGTTTTGTAAACTTCTTTGCTCTCAATTCATCTGGACCGTCTCTGTCACCAGTATATTGTATTTGAACTGTACCAACAGTTGAAATACCACCCATAAAGTCTTCTGAGTCAGCAAATGGAATGCCAAGCCAAAAGTTTGAACGGTCTCCATTTGTATATTGAGTTTTTTGACCTCCTGTATGAGTCCATACTTTCACATATGGCATAATAGAACTTTGCATTTCAGGGTTAATGGTTGTTGTGAAGTTGTTGTTAAAGTTCATAGCATCTAATGTCAAGTTGTATGACCTCATATCCTCAACTGTAGAATATTCTTCTCTTGGATAATATTTGCCATCTATGTTTATATGATATTTAATACCAGGGTTGTAGAAACAAGAATAGTCATTTATAGTTCGTCTGAACAGTACAAACATAGTATCTGCATGTTTCATTGCAGTTGTTAAAGCAATATCTGTTCTTGCACCTGGGTCAGCACTTTGGTTTCCAACTTCACCTGCAAAGTCTTTGACAGATATTTGGTGTATAGGGAACATAAGTGGAACTGCAATATATTTGGCAGCTAAAGCATTTGAAATATCTGGGTCCAACATATAGACTGCAAGTCTGCTTTCTATTCTCTTGCATTCAAATTTTTCGCATGTGAACTTAACTGGGTCCCAAGCAGTTCCAGCAGCATTGAAATAATAGTTTACTTCAGTGTTGAGTTTGAGAAACCAAAGTCTAAGTCAACTTTGTCTTTGCAAAATTCGGCGAATGACGTTTTATTTGTTCCCTTTACGTCTGTAAGAGTGAATGGGTCTTGTGTTGGTGCAATGACTAAGTTATTTTTGCTTGGAGTAAGTTCGATAGAAATTTTTCCTGCCCAGTTTGGCAAGTATCTTAAAAACCTGAAGATGAGGAAAGATGACAAAGGAACTCTAAGTTTCAGTTTTACTTTAGTGGCAGCAGTTCCATCTGAACCAGAAAGGTTAACATAAACTCCTGGAACGTTAGGGTCAAGTCTTCTTATTTTCTCAATAGTTGCATACTGGTCTGTTTGTTCTCTAGCTTGTGGTTGTACTGAGTTTCTCAAAGCGAACCATTCATAGTTTGCCCATGTTACTGTTTGAACTAAGTCAGAGTTAGAATATATCTTATATCCCATGAAAAACTTCTGGAGCATATTGGTATCCGACATAGAAAATTCCATTGCAACCTTTCTTGTCAGACAACTTGGCAGAAGGTTTTATTTCAATGTCTTGTTCCACGTATAAGAATGAGTTGTCAATAGAAATAATATGAAACCTGTCGCAAGCAATATCTACTGTTGTTGAAGAACCTTCTCCAAACTCACCTACGTTTCCATAAGAAACAGCAGTTGTATATTCGTAAGTTCCAGGAACTATTTCTGACCTTCTAATGGCATTGTCGCATTCGTTATACCATTCGGAAACATTTCCGTTCATGGCATCCAAAACTGTTGGCGTTATATTCTGAGCGGCGTACATTTCATATGGGTAAAAATATAGAATAGTTGGATTTATATGTCATAATAGAACCCACTCGGACCAAGCTTTACTTTCTTCCTGACTGAGTTTTTAACTCTTCTTTCTTTTCCTTCATTGCCACTACTTTCACTAGATGAAGTTACTTCTTCACTACTTTCACTTTGTTCTACTCTTCTTCTTTGGTGTCGCTTTTGGTAACTTGCCCTCTGCTTCAAGTTGTTGCATCTTTGCCTCATGTTCACCTAGTATGTTGTAAATTTCCCATGTCCTTTTTGCCTTTGGGCTCTGGTCGCCCATCTCAGGTAACCTATATCCTAGAAAGATTTTGTCATAGTTTGTATTTGAGTCTTCGCGTATTGTTTGCATGACTCTTTCCTGAGTTTCCGGTTCAAGCTCTTCAAACAGAGCTTGTCCATATGGAATAAGCTCGTTTCCAAATATATGTTTTTGTAGCCATTCTGGTTTTCTTTCCATGTTACCAATAATATCTTTTGTGAATGGGAAAGCTTTTACCCAATGTTTCAGTCTTGCGTCATTTATTTCTGTAGTTGGTTTTATTTTGTCAAGGAACATGTTTTTCAATACTAACATTTCATTTGGTACTGTCCATTTGAGTTTTCTTAAATATTCATCCCTTCTCGGTTCATTGTCTGCAAAGTAAGTTTTTATGACATTTTGCAAACTTTCGTTTGCAAGGTCATGTACAATAGGTTCTCTTCCTTCTCTCTCCCTAACTTTCTTTCTAAACTCTTCACCAAATATACCATCTCTATGGTTCTGTGTAGTTCTTTGAGATAAATGTTCTAGAACGTCAGGTGTTATATTTCCATCAGCCATGTTCATTTCATACTGGTCCAAAATATCTGCATCTTTCATATCTTTCAATGGCATTAAAGCCGCGCTGAAAATACCAGCTATATCTGGTTCACCATTCACTTCCATTGCGTCTACAACTTCTTGGAATTGTGGTTGTAAGTTTATGAACCACCTATCCGGATTAGCTTTATGACCCCATCTCATTGTAGTTCCATAGTCTGCAGAAACAAAAGTAGGTTTGTTTCCATATTGGTTAGGTTCTGAATGAACTTTAAACAATGTTTCATTTCTATATGTTTTGTTGAAATTTAACCTTTTATTTTCACCGAGTTCAGCCAAAGATTGAACGTTATATGGTCGTAAGTAAAAAGGATTATTGTATTTGCGTACATTTTCTTTCAGTACTTCCATTCTATGCTGAATATTTTCATCTGATGTTGGAGTCTTTTGTATGTCGGCGAACATTTTTCGATATTCTTCTACTATGTCAGCCGAATTTTTCTTAGACTCTTGGAAAGATTCCATATTCTCCTCATACTCTTGTTGAGGGTCAAGATTTTTCGGCTGTTCCAAATCTTCATCTAGTTCTGTGAAGTTAGTTTCCAAAGGAGGGACTTGTTCGTTTCCTTCAGGCTCTTCTAGCTGTTGTTGCTGAACTATTTCTTCCATGTCTGGTTGTATCTGAACTTCTTCCTGTGGAGTTTCTTGTACCTCATCTGCTGGCATTTCATATATTCCGAGACCGTTTTTAACAAGTTCCCTATCTAAGTCATCCGGACTCATAAACCTTTCTTCTTTCGTTCCGTCTCTATTTTTTACGCGTTTCATGAAGAGAGTTGAATTATCATTTAGCTCTGACATCAAATATCTCGGAGTAAATTCATCATGTCATTTGGATGATATGCTATTAAATCATATCCCTTAGCGAGCTTGTATTTTCCAGGTTTGAAATCATATCCCATTTGGTGCTGAACCATAAAGCTAAATAGGTTCGGGTCAGTATTTCCTTCCTTGAACTTTCTAATAGCTTCTTTATATCTGTCACTAAAGTCAAGAGTATCTGGGTAACCATAATCTTCCTTAAGCATTTTTAAGAATTCTTGGTTTCCTTGTTCTCTACTTCTTTTATGTCCTTGCTCTGTTTGTGGTTGTTGTTGTGCAGGGTTTTGAACTGTTGGTTGTTGTGTAGTGTTTTGAACTGTTGGTTGTGGAGATGGTTGCTGTGCTGGTTGTGGAGGTGGTTGTTGTGCTGGTTTTGGTTGCTGTGCATTTTGAACTGTTGGTTGTGTGTTTTGAACTGTTGGTTGTTGTGTTGGTTTTGGTGCATGCCTGTGTCTGTGTCCATGTGACGATGTAAATGTTTTAGGTAGTCCTGGTGCAGGTGCTTCTCTTGGAGGGTTTGGTGGTATATAAGTTCCACCAGCTGGCACATATGTTCCATCTGCAGCATAATGTCCTACCTGACTTTTCGTTTTAAGAAAGCATTTACTAGGTCTGTTTTGGTCTGTTGTAACTCTTTTTCTTGACTTTCCACAACAGTTGCTCTAACGGCGTCATAGGCACTTTGAACTGCCTGTCTCGTTGCTGCATCTGTTATTTTCGTCATATTTTGTGCTACTTCTCTTAACTCGTTGTCGAAACCTTCAGACTTCAGTTTCTTTCCAGATGAGAAGTCGTTCACTAGTTTCACCTTACTATGAAGAGCTTCGAAGGCGTTCTTAAAGTCAGCATTCATTAAAGCTTCATTTGAACTGTCTTCATCCGCTTGTATTTTTGTCCTTATTGACCCTATAAGTTGGGCTGCTTTGGCGTTGGCTTGGGCATCTAACCAGTCATTATTAGCTTTTATATATTCTGCGCTTTTCATTGCCTTTTGCATGGCTGCGTCGTTATTTTTACTTTCTTGTGCTAAGTTTTCATACTGTACGGTTTGGTTTTGCAACTGTAAAAGTTTTTCTGCCTTTACATTTGCTTCAACTTCTTTTTTATACTCATCGCTATCCATATATGTCTTCAGGGCTTTTGTTTTATCTCTTCATCTTTCAGTACTTTATATTGAGTAGTATGGTTTTTCAAATTTATAACATCTTGTTCCATTTTTGCTACTTCTGCTGCTTTTTCTGACACTTTTTTGCATATTCCTCTGTACTTAGTTCTTTCAGTTGTTCTTCTTTCTTCTTTTTCTCTACGTTTAACTCATTGAGTTTCTTTGTGTGTCTGTCATATTCTAGTTTCTTTTCGTTTTCACTTATTTGTTTCTGTATGTCTATGTTTGACTTTTTGACATCTGTTATTTGATTTTTGAGTGAACTCAAATTCATTTGACTTTGAGGGTTATAAGCTGTTCCGTCTGCAGCTCCACCATAGCCTGCCATTTTCGCTAAAAGTGCCGCTCTTAAACCTCCACTCTGTGCACCAATAACTCGGTTTAAAAGCATAGGGTTGCTTGACATTTGTTGCAACATAGTGGGGTCATTCATCATTTGTTGTTGCAACTGTTGTTTGGTGTGTAGTTTTACTATTGGATGTTTCAATGCTCCCTTCCTCTTACGTATATTCTTACGTAGCTTACGTGGCATTTTAAGTGAAGTAAAAAACGGTTTTTGACAGATGTTTATATGACACTTTTTGTTCAGCACAAAAAACTACTCGGTCAAAGTGTTGTCAGTTTTGTAAAATAACCGTCCTATCTCATTCTATAAGGGAAAAAGGCTTCTCAAAGTATACTTCCTTGGAACGCCTGTAACTTTTCCTGTAGCGACGATAGACCCTTACTTGTCCGGACAAAGTTATACTATTTTGAGTGCTCTACAAAAAAGTCAACGGCGACGACTCTCAAAAACCGTTGTGTAAAAAGTTTTACCGTTGGACAAAAAAGTATATATAGAAAACAAAAAACGTTTATAGTTCATTCAATATTTGAGATGGAACGGTTTGCCAACGGTAACTATTAAATAAAATAAAAAAATAGAGGGGGTTACCGTTGACGAAAACGGTTTATTTTAAACTTTTCTATGAGTAGCCCGAAAAAAACAGTTCATTTTTCATAATGGAAGGAAGAACAAGTGTCGCAAACAATTCTTCGACTACCTCTGCAGTTAAAGTTCCTACAACTTATGTCTCACCATTCTCAAAACCCTTACGACCTCCTATAATACCAAAACAACTTCCTCATACAATTGCAAACAAATTGTTGGACAATATGCATTTGCACAAAGAAACAGCTCAGCCAACAGGTCAGGCAACAACAACTATCGGAACAGAAGCATTTTCAGAAGAAGTTCATACCAATCAGACTCCAATCGAACATACAGAAACACAACCACCCGAAAATACAGAAACACATCCAATCGAACATACAGAAACACATTCTGCAATGACCACTAGGTCGCAAACACGATATCTCGCCTTTAGCAAACAATTTAAGTCTCAAATTCAAGACACACAAGATAGCGACACTCCTCTTTCAGAGAAAGTTCGTAGAAAATACGCAAAGAAAAGGTTAGAATTGTTAGATAAGTTAAATGAACAGTGGGGTTCAGAAGACAATCGAGATTATAACGAGATGTTTCAAGCTGTCATGGATGCCATTCAGCCTCTTGAAAACGAAATCAAAGACCCTGGCGTACTTGTTGACATGTTTGCTTCATATTTACCCGTTACTGCCAATCTCATAGCGTTGCAAGCTATTGACCAGTTCATTCACTTGTTTCCAAAGAACTTGCAGAAGCATTTACAAGAAGTTAAAATTGCTGAATTTGTCCGTTTATATCCAAATTCATACAATTATTTGGAAGAATTGAATGAACATGGTGAAAGGTCATTCTATTTATATTTCTACACAAAAGACAACCAGTCAAAACGACTATACTGCATTGAACCTATGCCTCAATTCTTAGACAATTTCCACGTTATAACAACTGTTGCTTTAGATATTCCTGCCAGAGTTCCATATGGAGGAACAGTAACTATCTCAAGCTTTCCCAAGGGCTATAAAGGAAAGCCTCTCACAATTGCAAAATTCACACACAGCAGTTGCCAATTTGTTCAAGATGTCGAGTTCCATTTCCTCAACAATACGACTTTCATCATAGAGACTCCTCAAGAAGGTATATACAAAGTTTTCATCGCAGGATTTGTTGCTCCCAATGGCGAAGAAGAAGTCGAAGAAATCCTCACCTCAGAGAGCGAAGAAGAAGAAGTCGAAGAAATCCTCACCTCAGAGAGCGAAGAAGAAGAAAATTTCCAAGACATTCAAGATTCAGAATATACCGAATAAAAAAACAATTTAAGACTAAAAATTTAATTTTATTATAATATTTTTATTTTTTTCATCTGGTCTTTGTATCATTCCTCCTCTAGTTTCTCCGGGGCTAGAGGGCGCAACGCGCCTGGAAGCCCCACCGACCTGACCTCTATCCACAAGTCAAACTACACTTGGTTTTCCTATTTTCCCGATCTAAATGAAGTTAATAAAATTTCATCAAATATATAAAAAAAAAGGTAGTGGGGCTTCCAGGCGCGTTGCGCCCTCTAGCCCATAAAAAATTTCTGAGGACGAGCCAGCCGGTGACTTTTTTGTAGAGCACTCAAAATAGTATAACTTTGTCCGGACAAATAAGGGTCTATCGTCGCTAAGGAAAAGTTACAGGCGTTCCAAAGTATACTTTGAAGAAGCCTTTTCTCCTTATAGAATGAGATAGGACGGTTATTTTATAAAACTGACAACACTTTGACCGAGTAGTTTTTTGTGCTGAACAAAAAGTGTCATATAAACATCTGTCAAAAACCGTTTTTTACTTCACTTAAAATGCCACGTAAGCTACGTAAGAATATACGTAAGAGTAGGGTTGTTAAAAATATCAAAAATTAGCGTTTTGAAGACACCATGGTGTCTTATAATTTTCCCTTCCTTATTGGCGTGTAGAAATAAATGCGCCAATAGATTGAAGAAGAAGAATTGTTTTTCTCTTAATGAACTTTAATCCTTTTGATATAAGAATATTAAAAACATTAATATAATTTCGATTTCGGAAATTAAATTTCCAAATTTTTTGTCGATTTCGGAAATAACAGGATCCCGCATCCAACACGCAACAACAAAACACAAAACACACTTTTTGGTTCTTTCATCGTTTTAATCGTAATTTATGTAATACGTGATTTGGATAAATTTTACAAAAATAGGTCAGGTAAGTGGGGCT